CTATGCTCTACCTGGAAACTATGCTCTACCTGGAAACTATGCTCTACCTGGAAATAATGCTCTACCTGGAAACTATGTTCTACCTGGAAACTATGCTTTACCTGGAAACTATGCTCTGAAGCCGAAAGATGTTTTTCTCCATCTCCGTGGAAACTTGTTGTTTCTGGTCCCCTTAAATACCATAGCTTTAGAAATTCTTAATCAACAAAGATATTATCAAGAACGAATATTTTTAGAATTACTGAACAGAAAACATTCTTTTTGTGTTGGCATATGTTCAGTCATACTTCTTATATCTTATTTAAAATTCATCAAAAATAGCGTTAATCGAGACTTTATTAACTTAAATATTTATACACATCAAAATAGTACACAATAGCGAAAACAAATAATCTACAAGCCACATATATTGGGTAAAGATGGGTGTTTGAAGCTGTAGCTAAATCTAATTTTAACTAGTACGTCTAGTTTATCGTGGAGTAACCCTGTAAATTAACTAGAACCTCTAGTTTATCGTGGAGTAACCCTGTAAATTAACTACCACCTCTAGTTTATCGTGGAGTAAGACGTAGAGCATGCATTAAGTCTAATTAGGAAAATATACATGTATGAGCATGCATTAAGTCTAATTAGGAAAATATACATGCATGAACATGCATTAAGTCTAATTAGGAAAATAGACATGCATGAACATGCATAATTACTTATTGGTCGATCTGATTTACTTTCTATAATAAAGGAATTGAGTTTTTGTCACAAACCCAATGTCGTAGACTTTAGATATTTCAAACTATGAATTATGATAGATCAAATGTTCTGATTTTGAAATATTTCAGGGCTATACCATCATGCTTGCACATAAATAGAAATTAGAACATTTGAATTTGTGGCAAAGACACAATTCCTTTAGATTATAGGATAAAAACTCTATACCTGATAAGAGATGGGGCGGTAACAAAACATTTCTCTCCTACAATAAAAGTGTTTCTACAGTTAGACCCTTAAAACAACGATATCTTTGTATTTTATGTTGTTATAAAGGAAAAAGTACAGTGAAATGGACCTGCATACAATGCACAGTGCAGTGTTTTATGTTCATATTGGACTGTTCTAAATCATAGCTTAATTTTATGTCTAACATTCGTCTTCCTATTCCACAGCTGTATGAGTCTCACTCTACTTTCCGAATTAATATTTTAACTGGGTTGACTTAAAAGTGTCGCAACGCCTCGGCCTTTTATTCCACCTCACCGACTCACTTATACTTTTGTAGCCATAGACATGTATAATTTTCAACTGTAAAGAACTGGCATATTTTTAGTTCTATGTTTTTAAGATATAATCGTCAAACTTCTCATTGATTTTTGAGTGAGATTTTGTAGGCTTTGGATGTTTGTTTAGGAATGATAAATAATATTAATGAAACTGCTCCTTTGAGAAGGGGGGTAATTTCTTAGTAAATAAATAATATCTATGAGACTGCTCCTTTGAGAATGGCGGGTAGTTTCTTAGTAAATAAATAATATTTATGAGACTGCTCCTTTGAGAAGGGGGGTAATTTCTTAGTAAAGGACAGTTGACCCCCCCCCCATTACTTCTGTAACACATAGGCGTAATCGGACATTGTGGCAGCAGCTCCGATCCTAGCCGGTCCCCTAGCCTGTCCTAGTCACAGCGCTCGTCCCAGAAATTGTCTTAACCCAACATGACCCAGGAATTAAACAAACAAAAATTTCAAGTTGGAAATAGTTAAAATCGCTTACACATAAAGTTATAGGAGTGAGGTGGGGGGGGGGGTTTTACAAAATGCTAGGACTGATCCAAAAGTAGGCGGTGGTACTTCGCCAACCCCAAAAAAAATAAAATTTCCCTGTTTACCTTGTCAAATGAAAGAATGAAGGTGTCTGCAAATATAAGAAGACGTAAACTAACAAGTCGATCCTTCCAGTTATCTCCAATCCCCTAAAATGTTTTTTTTTTTCGAACCAATTGCTGGTTTTATACTTGAAACAAGTCCTGTTAATCGTTTTGGCTTGTTTCTTAAAAACTAAAATCTTTAAAACTTTCTGCGCTTCAAAACTGTTTAATGTTTTTTTTTAATAAACTTTGCAATATTTCATTCCTTTAAAAGTTTTAGAAAACGAGCGTATTAAGATTTAACACGTTATCTTTTGGTTTGTTTTGGTTAATTTTTTGCATATTCTTTTAACAGAGGGTCAAAATTTGGCATTGTGTAAAAAAAATGTATAAAATAAACAATTTTAAAAACATTTGTTAATCTTACATATGCAAAATTTTGACAATGAGAGAAAATGTGTGGAAAAAAAACCTGAAGAAAAAGCAACCAACACTAATAACAACACTACCTGGAACTCCTTCAACACGATTAACAACATTACCTGGAACTCCTTCTCTGCCCTCTTCTTGGCCTCCTCTGCCAGGTTGAGAGCATCCTTGCTGTTCCTATTCATTAGGGTGTTGATGCATTCCTGTACAAGCTCAGCACCCAGCTTCTTCTCCTAGAAATATAAACTTAGAAACAAAATGTTTACTTTAGTTTAATGTGCTATAACAAAATATTTACTTTAGTTTAATGTGCTATAACAAAATGTTTACTTTAGTTTAATGTGCTATAACAAAATATTTACTTTAGTTTAATGTGCTATAACAAAATATTTACTTTAGTTTAATGTGCTATAACAAAATGTTTACTTTAGTTTAATGTGCTATAACAAAATATTTACTTTAGTTTAATGTGCTATAACAAAATATTTACTTTAGTTTAATGTGCTATAACAAAATATTTACTTTAGTTTAACGTGCTATAACAAAATATTTACTTTAGTTTAATGTGCTTTAGCAAAATATTTACTTTAGTTTAATGTGATATAACAAAATATTTACTTTAGTTGAATGTGCTATTACAAAATATTTACTTTAGTTTAATGTTCTATAACAAAATATTTACTTTAGTTTAATGTGCTATAACAAAATATTTACTTTTATTGACAAGGTCCATGTTCCATCTCTTTTGTCCTTGCTGTGATCTTTTAGTTTCTTAGAAACCTAGAAAACATAAATGAAAATATTTTTCTCTTGTTTAACTTGTTTAAATATTTCTTTTAAGTACGCTGTTTTTCAATTAACGATTGATTAAAGACTTAAAACTTGTCATTTTTGCTTAAGGAAATATATTAAGAATTTTGTTCAAATATTCTTATTACTACAATTTAATAAAACCCTTAAAATGTCTAATTCTGAACGGAATTATTCATAGTTATGAATGCAAAAACCTGGCAGACCTCATTTTGAAAATGTGTTTTAAATTCGAAAAAATAAGCATTTTTTTAGTTGTAAAATTAATTTTATAACCTTGGATAATTTCAAAATGTAACTATCCCCCTCATCTGTCCCTGAAATATTGATTTTTATAAGTTAATATATTTTATTTATGTCGCCATTTTTCATCATACGTTTCGCAGATTTCTCTGTTTTAACTGGTGGATTTTCACAAGTAATAGACGTAAACTTTTCCTGGCATTTTTTGTCAGTTTTAACCTTAATATCATTTACTCTATTATGGCGAACATTTTAAAATAATTAAACTTCATTTTCGCGTTCAAAATTTTTCGCAAATCATTAATTCAAAATTTCAAAAAATTTTCAATTTATGTCAAAGTAGTTTTTTTTGCCTTTCTCTCGTGATTAAAAAAATAAACTCTTCCAAAGTGTATTTGATTATATATAGCAAATATATATATTTTATACTTTACCAAGAATCTGAATGAGTTTAACAAGACTGTAAAAACTTGTCAGAAAGTCAAGGTCTGATTTGCTATCTAAAAAAAATTATTAAAAAATTTTAAAATACATCTTTTTCAGTAAATGTAAAATGAAATAACAAGTTTATATTTCGTAATGACGTAGATATATTCTGTGTTTAAAGGGACTGTAAGCGTAAGTTTAAGTGACACTCAATGAAAAGATTGCACTGCCCGATTCACAACCCTACCCTTGACACATTTATCTAATAAATAATGTGGAGGATATAGTGTTTTTTTTAATAATGTTTAATTTCGGATAATTCCTGCAAATTTTCCTGCAGTAGAATGCTCAAGTCATGTAGAGAACCTACAATTGAGAAGTAAAAAATCTGTTTTAAAAATTATAAACATTGATATCTATTTATACTTGATCAGACAAAGCTTTTAAGAGTACCTTTGTGAATTAAGCATTGCCATCTCTGCATTGAGGTTACTTTACGCATACAGTCCCTTTATAATCAAACAAAATACCTCGCTTCAAGTTCAGATTCATGTGCTTAGAAAACTCTCTGGAAAACTTACTTTTCAGAAAATGAAAATTGAAATTCACCAATTTTAGAAATAAAGAACACACCAATTGTTAAACTTGATTTTGTTATAAATTTTTTCATAATTTTTTAGCTTTACCACTAAAGGCAACAACGATTAATAAATATATAATAAAATATACTTCATAGCCAATTCTTTTCGAAAAATATAGTTTTCCTAAGTTCTTGCTGGAAAATAGCGTCTTCCACATTGTCGTCTTCTTCTACATTGTCGTCTTCTTCCGCAATGTCGTCTTCTTCTCTATTTTCATCTTCAAACTCATCGTCTTCTTCGTCTTATCAAAAAAATTGACAACATTTCCAGTTTTTTTTTTTAAAATTTTGAAGTATGTAATGTATATATATTATATATACATATATATATATATCGACTCAGGGCCGTAATTCTGGGTGTTTCTGTAGAGGGGGGCGCACCGAGTGAAACAAAAAAACGAGGCGGAAAAAATCGATTTTTCAATGTGAAAAACTAACAATTTTACCTTAAATTTGGGAAATGGTAGAAAGAATTAAATCTGGAGACAAATCTTTTTTATTTACATGATATAATACGTAAAATAATATGTTAAAATGATTCTAAAAATCTAGTCAAAAATTTTCAAAATGAAACAGGGCAGATATTATTAAATAATTTTAATTTTTATCTCTTTCTATATTCATCAAATGCCGAACATTGTCTAGCTGACTGTTTTCGATTTTCAACAAGGGGGGCAGCGCCATAGATAAAGATAGATTGCGCATAAGACGACATTTTAGGAAATATATAGTCATCAACATCAATCTTTAAAAAGATATGCTGAACTCTGAGAGTTATTCTTATACAGGGTGTCCCAATAAACATGGGAATTCAGTGACGAATTTGATATCGTCTTTTTAAATAATTCTTTGATTTAGTATAGTGATACCTACTGAGAAAACTGTAATCTGTAAGGATTCGTCTGCTATGTTCACATTTTGTTTGTTTATGTCTTGACTGCATACGGTTGTACGTAAATCAAGAAAATTGCAGTATGCAAACAGAGTAAACTTGTCCGTCTGCAGTTGCGGAGACATGGAGACACAGGCATTTATGGTTTCATTAAATAAACTCTAGCAGACATGATAATGTTATGGCTTTTGAAATTAGGTATTACAATGCTTATTCATAACAAAGACGATATCGAATTCGTCACTGAATTCCCATGTTTTTGGGACACCCTGTGGTACTGAATTAATAAATAATTTCAGATTTACAATTTTATGAAAATTTTTAGTTTTTGAAATAAATTAAGGAAATAAATTATTACTTTTCGTTTATTTACTATTTCATTTGTACTACTTCAAAAGAGTAACCTTTTAGTAAATAAGTTTTTTTAATCAAAAAAAGTATAATACCTCCATGGTGTCTTGGCTTAAATTTCGATTTTTATCGCCTTCATCATACTCCCTATAAACATTTTTTATTTATTACACAAACATTCTTTTATTTAACTGTTTGTGTTTAAGTGTTTGTATTGTTTGAAAGTTTGTTAGAAATCAAAATTTAAATAGAAAGTTGTCATCATTGTATTGATATATACGACGAAGACGTTTATATCAATACAGTTTTTATTTCTAGAGCTTTCATACATCAGAAACATGAAAACAAAGGTTAAAAATGTTTGTTTACCCAATTTGATGGATTTCAATCCTTCTCACGTCATCATAAGATTTTCTTTAAAAAAAGAATAATAGTAATTTAAAACTCCTAACTTATAATTTTTTATAAAACATTTGCAAATGGGGATTAAAATCTGTCTCATAAACAATCCAAATATGTTTAGTAAAAAACTGTGACATGGTCGTATCAACTTAACTGTCATTCGTAACGCTTTGGCCCGCAACTCCTAATTGCATGTTGGTGTCCAGATATATATAAAAGCCATTTTCGACCTTTTCTTATCTTCAATTTTGGAAAATTGGACATTTTCATGTCTTCCTTTAGACTAAATTTTGATTTATATCTCCTCAACTTATGTTTTTCTTAAGAGAACAAAAAAATTCTTTAATTCATGGTCATAACTATTTTTATTAGGGATATTATGGGTTTATGTTACTTTTTTCGAAAAGCTATAAGTGGGTTTCTATAATGCAAAGCCTATTATGGCCCATCGGTGCGAATTAAACTATGTTTAACAATGTTAAAAATAAAAGACGATTTGAATATCGTCACTTTACACAATTTTAAAATTTTTAAACTATATAGAATATCTAAACTAATTTAAAAGTAGATAAGTTGTTAATTTTAAAAAGGGAAAGTTAACCGTTCAAAATAAAATATCTTAAAGGGAGCTTTAAAAAAGAATACAAAATTTTCCAGACAAGAACCAACATCAAAAAGTTCTAAATACAAAAAGAATGTTTAACTCAAGGAACTAAATACATAATTTACATTATCAATTAGTAACAAGAAATATCGTTGTTTTTTTATCTTAAAACGTGTTAAATTTTGACATTTTCCTTTATTGTCTCTGCAGCATAAATCCACATTTATCACAATGGAATCCAAAATTCAAAAACAACCAATTTTCCAAAAGAAAATTAAATATACAGTGATAACCAGAAAACTGTGAAAATGACTTTAAGTGGTCAAATAAGCATGGTACGCAGCAAATATACAGTTTAAACAGACCCATTTCACTTAATTAGTGATTTGATAAGTGTCTAGTAAAACTATTTGCTTTGTAACACCATCAAATACACTTTATTATTGCTTCATAGTCGTCTTCCTATTTCAGAGTTTTCTGTTTATAAATTATTATTGTAGATCTGTACAGGTCCTAAAGTATTATTTAGAATTATTATTGTAGATCTGTACAGGTCCTGAAGTATTATTTAGAATTATTAGTCACTAGCTAATGTGCCCATGGCGTTGTCGTAAAAGTTTGAAGAAAAAAAACTCTTTTTTTATTTCGAATTTTACAAAAATGATTTTTTTAGCCCATGAACATGAGTTTCCTCTAAAAATGACAGCCAATTTACTCCAGCAGTTTTACCAGCAATCATATAAATATGTATATATTAGCGAAGAGCTTTATTATATAGAAATATTATTTTATTATCATTAAAGATATATTTTTCTCAACACTAGTACAATACAATAGTAGATGCAGGAGGTAATTTATCAATAATAATAATAATAATAATAATGATAATGGAAATATATAGTCATCAACATCAATCTTTAAAAAGATATGCTGAACTCTGAGAGTTATTCTTATACAGGGTGTCCCAATAAACATGGGAATTCAATTTATAAATCACATTTTCCTAAAAATATCATCTTTCAGATAAAAATAATATTGATAATAACAATAATAAGGATAATAATAATATTAGTAATAACTGCAATAATAAAAATTATAATAAAAATTATTATAGTAATAATTACGATAATAATGGTGATAATAATAACAATGATCAAATAAACCTGAAATGATTTTGCAGGATCGTAAAACGATGGATTCATAAAGCAATCATTGGATCGTTGGATCGGTATAGAGACACATTCTGTAGACTTGGAGAGGATCGGCTCCATGGATCCAGAAAACACTCGATCCCTTGATCCCAAGAGACTTTGTTCCATGGATCGTGCTGCTAGTTTTCTCATATTTTCAACCTAGCAAATACAAAATACAAAATACAAAATACAAAATACAAAATACAAAATACAAAATACGTTAATATGCAGTTAATATTTAAAGAATTAGAATCTTAAAGTTAGGATTAAAATTCACTTGATTATATTAAAGCATCCTGTAAGGGACTGTGTAGACGTAATTTTAAATAATAAGCGAAAATTTTCACAATTTTATCCTGAGTCTCTTCAGTAAAAATACGCTTGTTTTTTTTATAGTGAAACACAATTGAAAATAACTTCTTTCTTTGACTGGCTGGTGAGTGGAAGAAAGTGTACATGTGTTCTCCATAAATAAAAGATCACTTAAAATTACGTCTACAGTCCCTTTAACGGTTTACAGTCCCTTTAACGGTTTACAGTCCCTTTAACGGTTTACAGTCCCTTTAACAGTGTGTTTCTTCATCAACCTGGTACTGAAGGTCCAGATCATCGTCTCCCCAATCTGTGAATCCTGAAAAATCTAAATTAGATTTAAAAAACAATTAAACAGATTGACAGATTGACAGATCGACAGATCAAGAAAAATGACAGACAGACAGACTTAAATGTAAATTTAACTTAAAAACTGACAAATTCACAAACAGAGTAACAAACTGACAGAGTGACAGACTGACAGACTGACAGGCTGACAGGCTGACAGACTGAGAGACTGAGAGACTGAGAGACTGAGACACTGACAGACTGACAGACTGACAAACTGACAGACTGAGAGACTGACAGACTGACAGACTGACAGACTGACAGGCTGACATGCTGACAGGCTGACAGACTGAGAGACTGAGAGACTGAGAGACTGACAGACTGACAGACTGACAGA